GGTAGCTTCACTATGGTCCATTTCCCGCTGTCAGAGTTGATGGTTGCAGGTAGCTGATTGAGCTGCAATCTACAGAAGTCCGTTTATGAATAGCTGAATTTCTTCTTTACTGATATAGTTTACTTGGTCTTAGCAAAAGCAGAAAGAGAAGGGATTTTGCTTTGTCCTGTGGTGTTAAAATGTTGTCAATTAAGTAGGGCAGGGCATGATCGATCTGCCTTCTCCCCTCCTCCAGATGACTGTCAGCCGGATAAATGGTGTTGACAGAGATTGACTTGGTTTTGACACCAACTTTTGATTTTTATAATTTTCAGTTTGAGCAGCATGTTTACTGGTTTTTAAGTGTTTGCAATCAATGTGTACATAATTTGAAATTATTTTCTCCATGGTAGTGTGATTTTGAAGTTTTTTCTCGTGGTATCTTTGAAATATGGTAGTATTGACCTAATGAGAAATCTTATTAAAGTGTTAACTTTGTTACTTCACAGAGTTGTGGTAGGAAACCAAATGTTTCTGAGTTTTTTGGATGGTCATAAAATAAATAATTATTGTGCTTTCTAAGTATGTTAAATATGGTGTAAAATGAATATGCAAGTATAGTCTGGCAGCTCAAGTACATGCCACGCAAAGTGCCTTGGCACAAGTCATACCATTAGTGACAAATTCAGAGTTCTCTGGGGAATTTTGCTGCTGTTATTTTAAGAGAAAAACATGATCTACATAGCTTTTTTTCAAGGGATACTGCTGGTTCATACTACTGTGATTGAAAGCAATCTTTTGTATTTTAGTTGGGCAGGTCTTTTTAGAGTAGTCCTAACTGTTGTGTATGTATGTATATATGGAGTTTGGAACTAAGTATTTTGGAGAGGCTGGAGGTGGAAAGTTTGCATGGGTAAGAAAGATTTCTGCCACTTTTGTTTCCCTTGTTTGACTCTCTAATAATTTGAATGTTCTTTCTTTATCTTACCCCTGTTAGGCTTCGCAAAGAGTATCTGATTACACTCCAAATTCTTACTTCTTTTTTATTTTGAACTTTATTGATATGCAGAATTTTGTTACAGTGCTTTGGGTCAGCTCTGTAGAATCAGAGATACAGCTTGTTTCTGTTCTTCACTTACTTACTCAAAGTACCTTGTTTTATTCTTACTAACTTATTTAAATGACTGTGTGCATTTGTGTGCTACCCATTTGTCTGGTCTATATGTAACAATTCGTAGGTGAAGCTAAGGCAACGTTTTTTCTTTTAATCCAGTTACCTTGGCAATTGTGTAATATCCTACTAACTTCTCATTGCAGCCGATCTGATGATGATTCCGGGTCAGCATCAGGTTCTGGATCTGGTTCAAGCTCTGGAAGCAGTAGTGATGGAAGCAGCAGTCAGTCAGGCAGCAGTGACTCTGACTCTGGTTCAGAGTCAGGCACTCAGTCAGAATCGGAGTCTGACACCTCTAGAGAGAAGAAACAAATTGAAGCTAAACTGCCCAAAGTTGATGGATCTGAGGTAAACAAAACAGATAAATGAGCATTTTGTCGGGCAAAAAATAAATTAAAAAAACCTTTCTGTGCAGTCAGTTTGCATAGCAGTTTTAATTTAAAAAAAAGATAGTTTTTTAAATTAGAATTTAACTTAGTTGTGTTAGTGAATGCATGTCTTGTCTTAAACACTGGGCTGAGTTTCTCATGGATAACTACCTGAAGTGATGCTTTTAAATTCTTATATTTGCAAGTATTTTGAGTTAAATGCTTACCTAAATTTCATCATGCAGAAGCATTTTGTGTTAAAATTTCAAGCTTGTATGCACTTGGTTTTCTTCTTCAGTAAGTCAGCTAAATTCAGAAAAAGTAGTATTTGGAAATCTCTTAAATTCAGTGGGCCAAAACTACCTACACTTTCTTGAGTTACATGGACTTCATTGGGACATGGATTTCATAAACATAAATGTTTATGAAAGGCAGTCATATATTAGTTAACAGTTGGAGACTGTTGAGGGTTCTGTGTTAAATTTTTGTTTGTGTACTTAGGTATTACTGTATGAAACAAGTATGTATCAGCTAAGTGGTCTGAAAAGATTAATCAGTTTAAAAATGTACTTTACATGTTCTACCGTAACAAAACCTGCACAACCCTTGTTAAATGTGATGGAGAAATTATCCTGGCAGTTATTGTGTAACATTCTGCTCTGCAGCAATCTTGCTACTTTAAAAAGATATCTCGTATTATTAGTGTGTACAATATTTTGTTGTGAATTTTGTTAATTTGTAGAATTAAGATCTGTTTTAATAGTGATGCATGTGCTATGCTTTGAATGTATTTAACTGACTCTTTCATCTCCATTCCTGTTCAGTTTTGGAAGTCTAGTCCAAGTATACTTGCTGTGCAAAGATCAGCAGTGCTCAAGAAACAGCAGCAACAACAAAAGGTCACTTCATCAGACAGTGGTTCAGAAGAGGTGAGTAACATAATTTAAATTTCTCTTAAGTGTGATTAAAAGTAACATTCAAATAACGGACATTTTTATAAGGAAATGTAAAAATATCTCTCATTACTTGTTTTCAAGTGAATTGTGCCAGTCATAGCAGCCTATATTATGTGGTATTTTTAAGTAGATATATGGACAGCATTTTCAAGTCACATAGTACTGACCTGAATTGTACTTTGGGCTGCTTGAGTGTTGTAAAGACAGTTAAAAATGCTGAAAGGTTTTTTTTCAACTTATTTATGTATAAAGGTAGGTGCTGTGGGCTTCAAAAATTCTTATAGAGTAGAAAACTACATTGTTGCAGATTTTTTAACAGTAGATACTAAAGAACTCTTGTCCTTCAAGAATGACATCTGTACTCTAGGTATTTTAAACCCTAGATTTTAGGCTAAACAGGTGTTGACTTTGTGCAGTAGGAACATCTTTAAAGGATAATGAAATGGAATTTATTTATAAAGCACGTTTTTTTTCTCATTTGTTACAAAAACTACACAGTGTAGTAGCACTCCTTTGGATATATTTCTAGTTTTTTATGTTCAGCAGCACAGCATTAAAACGGAAATGCAGAGCTTAACCACCTATTGTTAAAACATTACCTTATAGCTGCTGCAATGTCCTGTCTGAAAGATTTTTTTCAAGATAAGCACAGATTGAGTTTAAGAAAATCTCATTTTAAGAGGAGTCCTTTTTTTTCTTTGAATGTAGAGAAAGAAGAAATATTCTGTTTTCAAAATTTTCTTAAGCTGGTGTTTAGGTGTGAAGGAATATGGAAGATGAGAAAGCTCCTGAGGTTAGGAGACTTCATTAGGATTTTTGATAAAACCGTCATCTTAATTAACTTGAGACTTCTGAAACCATGACTCTGTTTTTATGTAGACACAATGATTTTATTATTTTTTAAAAACTTTTTTTTTTTGGTGATATTCTCTAGAGCTGGGCTGGCACAATGTGTTTGTAGATGATGAATAGAAATACAGTAGCTGCCTTTATCTCATTCTGCATTAACAGCTACACTGTGGGAGATGAAGAGGGTAAAACGTGAATAGCAGGCCTCCAATTTGAAAGTGGTAACTGATTGTCTTTTTAGTGCTATGAGTACTTAGTTCCTTTTCTGATAATGATTTGTGTTTTTTTCTTCATCTGCAGGAATCATCAAGTAGTGAAGATTCTGCAGATGACTCATCCAGTGAAACCAAGAAGAAAAACCATAAAGAGTAAGATATATTTTTCTTAAGAATATCACCTAATTTTTTTTCCATAGTGACATGCCCCAAATTCATACTTCATTCCTCCTCTCTTGAAATGCTTAAGTTACCTTTTTGATTCATCTTGATCTTGCATTTCCAGTTTTGATAAACATTTTGGAATATGTAAAATATGTAAAACTCTAAAAGGAGCATCTATATAGCATTAATTTCTGAGCAAAAGAGTACAGTATGGTTCGAGGACACTTATTTGGGCTTTTACTTTTAAAATACTTCATTGCAGTTTATTTTTGAGCTGAAGGCCCTCCCTAAAAAATCTTGTAGAAATCTGAAACTACTAAGTAGGTTAAGTCAGCACTCCTTAGCTAATGCCAAATTTTTTTGTTTGGTGTTTTATGGTGTGGGTTTTTTCCCCTCAAATGTATTTACAAGTCTTTAGTATAGTTCCTGTAGTAATTAGCTTTGTTGACTAACAAAGAATTTTGATGGAAAATAAACTTCTAAATGATCCATCAAAAAGTATGGAAAAGATTATACATTGTTGTGGCAGAGAGGGGCTGCATTTTTATAAATGGTATTTTTTATAAACCTGTATTTTTTGTAAATGGTGTGTAAAAATTGAACTGTTTTTATTAGAATACATGAGTCATCTCAGTGTTCAGGGTTGCCAGTATAATATCTTTAAGAAATGGTAGTGTAAAAAAAAAAACAAACAAGGAGGCAGAAGTGCTAACTAGCAAAATGGTACTTTCCTAGTAATGAGGTGTTACTGTTTTGTTATTCAAGAATTTATTGACATCTAATAGCATACTCCCATTACAGGAAGGATGTTTAAGTTTAAGAATCCATAACCAAATCACTTCACATATCCAGTGCTTGAATTCTTGTCCTATGGCTTTTCTGAATAAGTATGTCTGCAGTTATTATCGGATATGCAGGTTGGAGATTTCTCAACAAATAACCTGATACATGATCAAGTCTTAGAAGATGATGACTTGTGTCAGTTTTCTGTATTTCTCAATAAACACAGATCATGGGTTTGTTACTATTCTTCTAACTTACTGTTTTCAGAAAAAGTATTTTAATGAAATATTCTGTACCACTGGCCATGTGCTGTCTGTGCAGTAGACATCATAGTATTTGTCATGGGTCACAATGAGAATGGAACACTGAGAATGTAGTTTCCTCCAGGACCCAAAGTCCTGGCAGACAGGAAGAGAGGGGTCAAAGCACTGCTGGTTCTTTGGGCTCCTGATTCGAAATGTAAGGATAATACTTGTTGGTAGTATTCCAGCTTTGATGAACACTCCTACTGGCCTAGCACTTTGGTCAAGTAACCTAAACCTGATTTTAATGTAAAGATTTAGCAATATTTCATTAATGCATATCAGACTTTTTTTTCTTTCTTTCTTTTGCATTAAGCTATTAAGATTAAATTTGTATGAATTCAGAGTTTGAAACAGCATCAGTGGGTATGTTTTTCCTGTTACAGAGTAGATGATCTCAGTTAGGTAGAAACAAAGACATCCTGTTGCTCAGTCACAAGTGTTTTAAAGTATGTTGCCTGGTTTTAAAGCACTGATTTGGGACTCTGTGCGAGCTTTCGGGAGCCATAATGCAGTTCAAGATTTTCTGGATGCTTCTGAAATCTGCCTCTATTTTTTTGATTCCCATGAAAGAGTTTTTAATTCTACACGTGAGCCACAGGGACCATAGACGTAAGACAATTTGGGACTCTTAAAGAAGAGGTTTATGGTTTTAGCATGTGTAAATTCTGGTAAATATGTTTCTTTCCAGTTAGACTCGTTAAGTGCTTTGGCTTCTTAATGTCACATTAGCTCGTTTCTTCATGCTGAACCTTACAGAGAAATCTAGATTTTTGTTTTATTTTGGATTTTAAGTTTAGCTTTTGATTACAGAAAACTTAGTCCCTTTGAGGCATTTGGCCTTTTTTAATTATCCATTATTCATTGATGACAGTTTTCTGTCTCATCAGCTGAAATTACTGTTACACGACTTTATTGCTATGAAGTATGTTGAAATTACAGCAGATGCCCTGTGTAGATGAATAGCTTCTTTTTTTTTAAAAAAACAAGCCCACAGTTTAAGTTACTCTTTGATCTTTCATTATGTACAGTGAAGACTGGCAAATGTCGGGATCAGGGTCAGTATCGGCAACTGGTTCCGATTCTGAATCAGAGGAAGATAGGGAGAAGAGCAGTTGTGAAGAGAGTGAGTCTGACTATGAACCCAAAAACAAGGTCAAAAGCCGGAAACCTCCAAGCAGGTGAGAAGTCATGCATTTGGATACTCTGGTGCTTTTTATATTAACCAACTGAATATTTGCTACTACTCTACATAAAAAAAGGAAATGCTAATGCATATTAAAAAATATGTATTTTTAAAAAAGCTACGTAAGGTGCTGGTATACTAATGCTTTCTAGTTAGTATCTTTTCTCATTTACTGTAGCTGTAAGTGGAATAACTGAGCATTCATGAAATAAATGTATTCAGAAAGCTATACAGAAGATTTATAGTTGTCCCTATTGAAACATTGTTGTGTCACACCTTATTGTCTTCAAGAATTAAGACCAAAAGTGGGAAAAAGAGTGCAGGACAGAAAAAGAGGCAACTTGATTCATCAGAGGAGGAGGAAGAGGATGATGATGATGATTATGATAAGAGAGGATCTCGTCGCCAGGCAACGGTCAATATTAGTTACAAAGAAGCCGAAGAAACCAAGACAGATTCTGATGATTTGCTGGAAGTTTGTGGAGAAGATGTCCCACAAACTGAAGAAGATGAATTTGAAACTATAGAGAAGTTCATGGATAGTCGAGTTGGCCGAAAAGGAGGTATTTGGGTTTTTTTTTTGTCCGTGTCCTGGAATTCATTGTGGTGCAACTTCAGCAGATGATGTCAGCTGTAGGTCACAGAGCTATGGAGGTTATAAGGAGCAATAATTTTAAAATTACTTCTTGCTTTGTGATATTCATAAAGATGAATATTATTTTCACATTTGTAAGAATGTTACTTTTAAAGATCCCTTTTAAGTGTTGCAAAGTAAAAGTAGACAGGTGGCATACTGTTGTGGCTTAACCCTGGCCAACGGCCAGGTGCCCACACAACTGCTCTCTCACCCCCCCTTCTCTGCTAGACACGGGGAGAAAATATTATTGAAGGGCCCATGGTTTGAGATAAGGACAGGGAAATCACCTGCATCTACTGTCCCGGGCAAAACAGAGTCGATTTTGGGGAAATCAGTTAAATTTATTAAAAGAACAAATCAGAGTAGTGAGAAATAGAAAACCCTCATGAAAAATAACACCTTCCTCCATCCTTCCCTTCTCTCTGGGCTTAACATCAATCCCAGTTTATCCACCTCCTCCCCTCGAGTGGCACAGGGGGACAGGGAGTGGGGGTTACAGTCAGTTCATCCGATGTCATTTCTAGTGCTGCTTCTTCCTCTGGAGGAGGACTCCTCACTCCTCCCCTGGGCCATTTTGGGGTCCCTCTCATGGGAGACAATCTTCACACACACACTTCTCCAACATGAGTCCCCTCGTGAGGGGCAGTTTGCCCCAGCGTGTGTCTGAGGTGCAGTCCTGCGGGGGAAACTGCTCTAGCACGAGTCCCCCATGGCGTCACAAAAGTCCCGCCAGCCAACCTGCTCCAGCGTGGGCATCTTTCTCTGCTACGGGCTACAGGTTCTGGCAGCAACCTGCTCCAGCACGGACTTCCCACAGGGTCACAGCCCCCTTCAGGAATCCACCCACTAAAGCGTGGGGCTCTCCCCGGGCTGCAGGGAGACACCTAAACCCCATCACCTACATGGGCTGCAGGGGGACAGCCTGCCTCACTGTGGTCTTCACCACAACCCAGGGGAATCTCTGCTCTGGTGCCCTGGAGCACATCCTCCCCCACCCTTCTTTACTGACCTTGGTGTCTTCACATATTCTCACTCCTCTGTCTCTCTGCCAGCTGTTGTGGCATGGTTCTTTTTTGTGTCTTAACTATGTTTTCACAGAGGTGTTCCTCTCCTGTCACTACTGCCAGGCTCAGCCTTGGCCAGCGCTGGGTCCATCTTTGAAGCCGACTGGCATTGGCTCTGTCAGACCTGGGGAAGCTTCTAGCAGCTTCTTGCAGAAGCCACCCTTACAGCCCCCCCGCCACTGAAATCAGGCCGGACAAACCCAGTAGAATATAAAAATGAAGTGGAAGATAACTCTGTTTTGCATAAGTGCACACGGTATTGTTACGCCACTGTTTGTGCAGATTAGTGGTACTTAATCAGTATAAATTATGTACAGTGGAGTGGAGAAAGTGAACTAGATAGGAAAGCTAAAGAGTGACCCAAGCCCTGAAAGATGGTGTTGGCAAAGCTGAACCACTGAGGTTATGATTTCAGTTATTGCCGTACAAATTGTCTCAGTACAGTGCAATGTGTAGAATGAATAGAAAATGCATCTAAAGTTTCAGAGGTGCACTTGCATGTGAACTCTTAGCAGGTCTGTTTATGTGTTTGAGTCTGCAAATTAGCATAGCGCATTAGTGTTAGTGGCATATTCCCTGGTGATCACTTTAAAAACTGGGAATGCAAAGGAAACTTTCATGAGGAGAGAAAAGATGCTGTAGGTTGGGTGCAGAAGTTTTGGTTCTCTGATTCTCTTTTGACTACTTGTGTGTGTGTTAACATACCTACGTCAGAATTTCTCAGATAACAGTAATGAGGCAAGCTGTAGATACTAGTCTAGTATGTACCTGTATAAAACTTCCATTAATTGTTTTCTACAGTACATTTCTTACTGGTTACTTTACGACAATGCACAGCCTAAGGCTTATGATGTCATTTCTTTCTCAGCCACTGGTGCTGCAACCACCATCTATGCAGTTGAGGCAGATGGTGACCCAAATGCTGGATTTGAGAAGTCAAAGGAGCCTGGAGAAATACAGTATCTTATTAAATGGAAAGGCTGGTCGCACATCCATAACACTTGGGAAACTGAGGAAACACTGAAGCAACAAAATGTTAAAGGGATGAAGAAACTGGACAACTATAAGAAAAAAGATCAAGAAACAAAACGATGGTGAATATTTTTGTATAGACTTCCACAATACTTTGTAACAGTGTAGATGTTCTGTGTTTCTGACACCTGTTACCTCTTTTTAAGGGTGTAATTTCAATTGTCTGTGCAACAGGAAGACAAAAACTTTATAAATTAAAGTCTCTTTTAATATATTCCTTCTGAACGTCATTTTAGTGTGTGTGTTATAAAAGTTTTAATAAGATGGGTGGTGTTTAAAAATAAGAAATTGTACCTTTTATGAATTTTCTTATAATATAATACTTCAGGAGTTGCTGCAGAGATTAATGTTTTCTTGTTGAATTGGCCTTTTCAGATTACTTTGAAGAATTCAGTTTTCTTGACTCAAACTTGAGTCTGAGAACAAAAGCCTGAAGAAATCCATGCATTTTAAAGTCACTTTTTTGATGTTCAGTTTTATTAATGTATTTAATATAATAGTTGAATACTGGTGGGGTTTTTAGCAACTTAATCGTAAGATGGATTGTTATAGAGTGAGTCATCCTGAATAGCATTCCGTGAAAATACTCTGTAAAAGTACACTACTTATTGTTCTGAATTAGGTGCATGACTAGTATCACCTGTAGCTCTAGGAGTTTTGTCTCTTGATAAGCATTTTCAGTCGTTAATGGTGAGGTATTTAGGCCAAAAGCAACAATTTTGTAGTAAGAATTTTTAAGTAGTCCCTTCAAAGAAGCTCTCTGAGCAACATATCTGTAATGTTTACATTCAGAGCTTTAGAGTTGCCAATTTTTCTTGGGTTTAGAACTATATAGTGTAATAACTTCTGTAAATTAATTCCCATTACAGGCTGAAAAATGCTTCTCCGGAAGATGTGGAATATTATAACTGCCAGCAGGAGCTTACAGATGATCTACATAAACAGTATCAGATAGTGGAAAGAATAATTGGTATGTAACAAACTTGTGGACAGAAAACAGTGTTGAAAATTCTGTATGTTTACTACTTACATGTTGCATTTGTAGTTAAGAAATTTAGAATATGAATGTCACTAGCTTTTTAATCCAAAACAAAACTTAAAGAGAAAAGATGACTTAATATCTGTGCTATGAAGTTAGCCTAGGTTGTCTTATTACTTAAAATTTTTCATATGTTTTCATAAGATACATAAGTAAAATGCTGATCAGATATCTCTGGTGCATTTTTCCAGCTCATTCAAATCAGAAATCAGCAGCTGGTTATCCAGACTACTATTGTAAGTGGCAGGGTCTGCCTTATTCAGAATGTAGCTGGGAAGATGGTGCGCTCATTGCCAAGAAGTTCCAGGCACGTATTGATGAGTACTTTAGCAGAAATCAGTCCAAGACCACTCCCTTTAAGGACTGCAAGGTAAGTATGTAATTTGCAGTGGATTTGTAATCGGTCATACTGGGTCTGACTGGGATGGAGTTAATTTTTTTCAAAGCAGCCTGTACAGCCCAGGTTTTAGATTTGTGACCTAAGTGGTGTTGGTAACACGTTTGTGTTTGGGTGTTACTGGACAGTGCTTGCACTGGCCTTCTCTATTACTTGCTGTGCCCTCCCTGCCCCAAGTGGGCTGGAGGTGAACAAAAGGCTAAGAGGCAACACAGACAGTACAGCTGACCTCAGCTGACCAAAGAAATATTCCAAGCTGTTTGTCATGCTCCGCAGTAATGAGTTGACTGAGAAAGGGATTTGAAGGTGACTGTTTTTCGTACATAGGAGTTTCTTGTGTTTTTACTGCCACTGAAAGCTGGGCTTGTTTAGTATTGTAGTTTATTTAAAAAGTAAACTTGGAGTGAGTTAATATCACTCCTATTGTGAAATTTAGATCAGCAAACTAAGTTCAATTTGCAAATTGCTTGGTGTTTTCATGTGGTCTACTTTTTGTCAGTGGTTAAAGACTAGACTTAGTGACCCAGTAGATCCCTAGTACAATTCTTTTCTGTAAGAACACATTTTAGTAACTTCAGTCAGTAGTAGAACTGATGATCAATTTGCTTTTGTCAGGTTCTGAAACAAAGGCCAAGGTTTGTTGCACTGAAAAAGCAACCATCTTACATTGGAGGACATGAAAGTTTAGAGTTAAGAGATTATCAGTTAAATGGATTGAATTGGCTTGCTCACTCATGGTGCAAGTAAGTATAGCCTGAAATGAGGTTTTGTCTTTGTAAATTTTAAGTATTTGTAAAACTTTGAATTAGATTTTTCTGTATTTTTTTTTTTAATGTGGAGGATTTCATACAGTAAGCTCAAAGTAGAGGTCTGAGGGGAGTGGGTTTGCTTTAAGAAGTACCAAAGCATTTTATGGCTGTTCTCAAAAAGCAGCTAAGCTCCATTGCTTTGCTTTTAATTTTCTGTAAGGGTAAGTCATATTTTTAAAAAATCAAAGAAACCTAAACCAGTAAAGGCAGAAAACTCAAAGCAAACTCTTCTGAAATGTCAACATCTTTTAAAATCAGATTCATCAGGAATACTTGCAAGCGTTCTGTTAATTTTTTTAATTCAAGTATTGAGTGGAGGAGAGGGAGTGTTGGAAATTGTTTTTATGAAAAAGCAATGGAAATAAACTTTTTCAAGGTGTTTAGTTGCAAAATCTTGAAAACCTGTATGAGTGGGTTTTATGTTCTAAAGACAGTAATTTCTTCTTGTCCAATCAGTCTCCTTTTCTTTACCACCTCAATATTTTCTTTTTTATTTTTTAGAGGGAATAGCTGCATTCTTGCAGATGAAATGGGTTTGGGTAAAACAATACAAACAATTTCTTTTCTGAATTACCTGTTTCACGAGCATCAACTCTACGGGCCTTTCTTGCTGGTCGTGCCACTCTCTACCTTGACTTCATGGCAAAGAGAGATTCAAACTTGGGCTCCTCAGATGAATGCTGTAGTTTACTTAGGAGATATAACTAGCAGAAATATGGTAAGTATTTCTCTTTATCATTGGAAAGGCTTGTAGATAAACAAGACTATTTGCTCCATCCTAAACAAAATCTTGGAGATTAGCACTTACTGAAACACTGCATTTAATATGCAAGTTAAAAGCTTAAGATTTTGATGTCATATAAATGTATGTGAAAGATTTTTTTCTGCCTTAATAACAAATAGGATTAAAAATTTAGTTTTGCACTTGAAAACAAATTATCTTCTGCTATTTGATTATTTAGGCAGATACAGTAAAAATGAATACTTAAGCAAGCCAGGTTGTTTGTTTGTTTGTTTGTTTTCTTAGTGTGTTTTCTGAATATTAGTAATCTAACCTATTCAGGTAAAAAAAATTTGTAGAAATTCTTTCCTGTTTATTCAGAACAAATTATTTTTGGAGGGCTTAGGTTGGAAATTCAGTCTTGTGCGTGTTAATATGCTTTTGAGTTTTGATTATATTGTATGTCATTAGATATTGCTGCAGTACTTAAATTGATGCCAATCAACAAGACCTTTTTATCTTGGTTCTTTTTGTAGATAAGAACGCATGAATGGATGCATCCACAAACAAAACGATTAAAATTTAACATACTTCTAACAACATACGAAATTCTGCTGAAGGATAAGGTAAACACACTTTTTCAGGGAGATAAAAACAACTTCTCCAGTGTAGAGCACCCTTTATGCTTGCATATATATCTGGTTTATGGACCATTAAGTTTATGGAGACTGGGACAGCTTTTGCTTTGGAAGGTAGAGATTATATGTGATTAGCATTACTTAGCTTTTTTTTAATGTGTGGTTTCTTTTTATTAAGCACCTCTAGGTTTTCTGTATGTGTGGTAAAGCTTTCAGACTTTTTCCATTTTGTTAAGTGGGTGAGACTTCTTTTTCTCCACTTTGCTTGGTGTTCACATTACAGTAATTAATTTCTCCCATCCTCAAAAACTCTACTTCTCTGCAAGCTACTGTCAAGAAACTGAAAAAGAACTCAGCCCCTAGCCATAAACATGGTACAGGACTCTGAGATTTCGTATTGTTTTTCTTCATTACTGTGCCAACAGTAATGTGTCTACATGTATTAATACTGTCTCTGTAGTGGTAGTGCACAGAGTTATTGTTAATCCTTCCAATAGTATATGGAAATTTTTATAGATAGTCAAGAAGCAGAATGTTTTCAGTTAATTCTTTTAATTAAGAAGGAGGAGGTCAATAGTTTTTTTTTTTTTGTTTTTCTTTTTTTCTGTCCTCTGAAAACTGATGTGGGTCAGACTTATTCCTTATGAACTTGGTGTATACTTTTTTCAGATGCTTGCACAACCTTTCATTGAATCTAGCAAATGTAAAAGTCATAATAAGTAGTAAAAACATTTAGCTATCCATGTCTTATTACAATAAACCAAGAAGTGATGATGTTTATAGCATGATTATAAAATGTGGGAAACTGTGCAATGTGTTTATTTGTATAATGTTCCCCCGTTCCTCTGTTTCTTTAAGTCATTCCTTGGTGGTCTGAATTGGGCGTTCATAGGAGTTGACGAAGCTCATCGTTTGAAAAATGATGACTCTCTTCTGTACAAGACTTTAATAGACTTTAAGTCTAACCATCGTCTTCTTATTACTGGAACCCCTCTACAAAACTCCCTCAAAGAGCTTTGGTCTTTGTTGCACTTCATCATGCCAGAAAAGTAAGGAGGAGTTTTACATGATTCTTCTTAATATTTTTTGGTCAAGTTTATTATTGTGAAGTAGTGTACTGACTTGGGAATCGGTAGAGGTAGAGAATCATACTAAAAGATAGTTTAAATATTCTTCATAAAGAAGATGCATATATTTTTTTCATGCTACTCCTGAGAGGTAATTCTGGTAGCATTTGTCACCTTTCTACATATTAGCAGTCCATAAAATTGGTAGTTTGATGTATGAGATAAGAACCTGGAAAAAAGGCTTCATATTGATCTAAGAGGAAATCTGCATGGATTTACTCTAGGGAGGTAGGTTGGAATCTTCTCTGTGTTACTATTAAGGAAAATTTGCACCAAGATGCCCCATATCCTGTAGTTCAGTCAACTGTTTTTCTCACAGGGTTTGCATACAGTAAGCTTACTGTATTGACCTTGTTTTGTACTGACCTCTATTTATACCTAGGGTAAATTAATGCTTGTATCAGAACCCATGTTCTTGTCAGACATCTTGTAAATGTCAAGCACTATAACTCCATTTACTTTGAGCTTCGGATTGAACTACTTCAGAAACTTTTACAGGCAAAGCCTCTGTGTCTAGGGATGTAGTACCTGTTCTTCATTTGATGATAAAGCCTGTTCGGCTGGTCTGTTAGCACACAGGATACTTATGATTCAGCTAGACCATACAAGCTGCATTGAGTAATCTCTTGTTCTCTTGCACATGCTCCAGCCGTGCAGCTGTTTTTTCATGCTGCACTTCATGTAGTAATGGAATTTCTACAACCATCTAGATGAGTATCCTTGCAGAAAAAGAAAACAGTTGAATTTCCTCTGGGGAAAAAAAAACCTTGGTAGTTTTCATTGTGTAAATGTTTTTTGAAAAAATTCATATTTACAGGCAAAGTATTTGGAATTTCTTGTGAGGTGGAAGTTTAGAAATTGGATAAATAAATGAAACAGAGAAAGTGGGAAAGAAATCTAAATGTGTGCGTGCTTTTGTGATGTATTTATATCCATTCTGTCTTTGTGTTATCTTGCTTCTTGAATTTTGCGTCTTCAGATCATTCACAGTATTGTCATTATTTTGCACTTACTCTTTATTATTTTGAAGGTTCTCCTCCTGGGAAGATTTTGAAGAGGAGCATGGTAAAGGGAGGGAGTATGGTTATGCAAGTCTTCACAAGGAGCTTGAACCATTTCTGCTGAGAAGAGTTAAAAAAGATGTAGAGAAGTCTTTACCTGCTAAAGTTGAGCAAATTCTGAGGATGGAAATGAGTGCGTTGCAGAAGCAATACTACAAGTAATGACACTTTTTAAGTTGTGCTGTTGTAACGATACTTCTACATGCAATTTACTGAAGTATAAGTTTTTGTAAAGCAATTTGAACTTGAGATTCCCCCTCTTAAATATCTTGATCCTCTGGCCTTGTGCAGAGGCGGGTCTGACTTTTCACCTGGAGCTGGGGAAGGCTCTGAAAGTTTCGAAAGAATCATCCCCTAGAGCCCTCCCCTCTGCTACTACCAAAAGCCTCATAAGACTCTAACCCTCCCTGATAGCATATTTGTATGTTCTTCAGGGATTTGGCTTTTTTCTTTAGCTTGTTTATATTTTGAGAGCTTACATCTGTCTTATTTCCACATATCATTACAAATTACTTATATTGTACATCTTATAGGTGGATTTTAACAAGGAATTATAAAGCCCTCAGTAAAGGTTCAAAAGGCAGTACCTCAGGCTTTTTGAACATCATGATGGAGCTCAAGAAGTGTTGTAACCATTGCTACCTCATTAAACCACCAGATGATAATGAATTCTATAATAAACAGGAGGCCTTACAGGTAATTTCACTTTTTTAATTAAAAATAAAAAACGTTCTGTTTTACATCTGTAATGTTTGCACAGTTTTATAGTGCTCTAGCAGTTTAGTAATTCTTATTGAAGTACATTATGAAAAAAATAGCTTATCTGGAAAATGCGCATCCTGGGCTTTACAGGTAAGTGAATTGATTTTGATTTCTTGATTGGAACTGGATAAATGGCAGATGATTGATTGAATAAAATATCCCTGATTTTAATTAAAAAGTAAAAAGGAAGTAGTTTGAAATTGGTTAGTGTTTTCATGCAAAATAAACTTGAGACATATTTTCAACCTAAGTAAAGTAAATCGGGTAAGCAGGTAAATGTGGTGTGATTAGAAATGCATGTGACTGACATGGTTATAGCAGCAATATGTGATAGCAGAATGTGATCTACAGAATGCTTTTAAAGCTTTCTTTATATTCGAGTACTGATTTTGCATGCCTGCAAACAACCAAAGTGAAAGGAAATGAAAGATAACAGCCAAAGCTCAATCTGATTTTGTTATTGTAGTTGTGACAGATGAAAACAATTATCATCACTAGCAAAGATAATCTGTTTTAATCTGTTTGTTTCTTTTTTTTTCCTAAAGTTAACTAATATTTTTACTAAAAGTGATGAGAAGCACAGCAACAGATAAGACTTGTACATGCAGTTTATATGCACGTACATGTATCTGAACATGATTGTGTGGTTTGTTTTTTTCTGTAAGCTTTCAAGTTGATAATTTAAATGCATTCTCAAAGTTATTAGTTATTAAAAATATAGCAATCCCCAAAATTCTATCCCCAGTGTCTTCACATAGAGAGGCCTAACATTTTCAACATTAAATTCCACGTTTGCTTGAGTTTCCATTCGAGTTATTCCAAAGGGAGCTGGGAACGCTTAACAGACTTTAGTTGGGTTACACTGTTAGGCACCACAAAGAAGATTCCTCTCACTTTGTATCTTGCCTGGGAAACTTGATTGATAGGCTTTGTATAAAAATATTTAGAGGATTAAGTAGCAGTACCCATTTATTTTCAAAATATGGGAAGTGAAACTCAATCTTGCACTTCATTAGTTACTGAATTTTATTTTTTACTTGGCAGAAAAGAGCTTGGGCCTACATCCTAACTGCTCAAATTTTTAACATTTCATCAAAACATGTAATATATAGGCTTAAGTTACAACTTTTAGAGGGGAAACCAAATAATGCATTTCCGTTAAAAATGTGTGTTAGTAATATTGTTGATTTCAGTTAGAGTGAGCTAAACTGAAATCAGAGTAAACTTTCATGTTCAGTTAATGCAGCATACTAGTACATTTATATAGCAATGATGTCTTACGGTCACATGAATTTGGTAGTTTTGGGTTTGATTTTTTTTTTTTTTTTTTTTTAGTTCTAGGAGACTATATATTAAATGCATGTTTTAAATGATAAAATTTTTAAGGAATGTCAGAATTTGCCTTTTTTTTTTATTCCTGCAGCAATAGAAAATCAAACTTAACATGAACGTCTGACCAACTGCAGTGTTTATTAGTGCTGACATGAAATTGTAATATGTGTTTGTTGGGTTTTGTAGCATTTAATTCGTAGCAGCGGGAAACTGATACTTCTTGACAAGCTACTGATTCGTCTGCGAGAACGTGGCAACAGAGTTCTGATTTTCTCACAGATGGTGAGGATGCTGGACATCCTAGCAGAATATCTAAAGTATCGTCAGTTTCCGTTTCAGGTAAGAATCTTGGTGGTAGGATCCAAAAAAGCTTTCGTCTTGAATATAAGAAAATCTTTCTCTCTATTCTGAGAGTGACAGAGGACTGGAACAAATTGTGCAGCAGAGGTTATGTAATCTCCATACCCTGACATTCAAAAGCCACCTGGACATGTCTTGGGGCAATCTACTTTAGCTGTTCCCACTTGAGTAGGGGAGTTAGACAAGATGACCTCCAGAGGCCCTTCCAACCTCAGCTGTTTTTTGGTTATGTGATGTTTACCACTTTGCTTAAGAAAAGATACAAGAAAATGTATTCTTTTTCTGGAAAGACTGATAGTTGCTATATGCTAAATAGTACTTTGAAATGAAACAGATGAATTAAGAAATTGTATGAAGTGTGAATTGGTTTTTTTTTTTCCCTTCACACAAGAGTTTTGGCAGTTGAGAATTCAAGTTGCTGTGATTTTGAATGTATTATAAGAATTTCTTTTCAACTGTAGTATTCAATCTCTTTAGAGACTTGATGGATCAATAAAAGGGGAATTGAGGAAACAAGCACTGGATCATTTTAACGCAGAAGGATCAGAGGTATGGGGTTCTTTTCCTTAGAAATATAATACAACACAAGAAACACAAAAAAACATTGTGCAAAAAATGAAGGCTGACAAAAGCAATGAGTATATCAGTAAGGTTAAAAATAATTGTTATTGCTTAGACTAAGGTTTGCATCTGCTATTTTTTTTCTCTTAAGAGGTTAAGTAGAAAACATGTAATTTATGAAAATAGTATTTAATCAGTTGCATAACCATAGGGTTTTTTTTCCTAAAACTCTGTATCAAAGTAATTTTAATTACTATGTAAACACAGCAGAAATTTAACTTCAGCTTTGTTTCTGCGTAGAACTTAACCTAACAGTGTTTACCAGAGCATTAATCTTACATAAGTAGTTAGCATTAAAAATATCCTTTGGCAGTGGACAACACTAACTGTATATCTTTGCATGAACAATGATCTTTAATTGTTTCAAATCTGGCTTTTTTTTATCTTCAACCTGTGAATATATACGTGTCTGTTACAAGTTCTTTCATTTCTGAGTTGGAAGATTGTAACTTATGTAGCATTCATAATATGCAAGTCATTTGATACCTTTGATCAGCTTTTATCTTTTATTGTGCACTGCAGATTTGGTTTGCTTTTTATTGGGTTTTTGTTTGTTTGTGGTTATTTTTTTGGTTGTTGGTTGGTTTTTAACTCAGTAATTGGACGTTAGCATTTATCAGTTAGCTGCTGATCTTGTTTCTGCTTTGATGGAGGGAGGAGGACTTACCTCTGTAACATAAACTTCAGATATTTGTTAAATACAGAAGTTAATTCTATTTCTGATTTCTAGCATAGAAATTGTTGCAGGTACGCTGTACATTTTTGAAAATGAAGAGGCGTTTAAACTTAAAGCATTGTAAAAATGGAGGCAAACTCTGTATTTGTGCAGCAAGAAAATTATGTTCTCAGTTTTACTTTTTTATTTCTTTCCTAAAAATTCAGAACAGGACAGGGAACAGAATGAGGCCCCTGTATACCAAGGGGAGAAGCAGTTAGCGACCTGTTGTTCCACTTAGACAAAACTCTGTGGGGCCAGATGGGATCCATCCAAGGGCACTGAAGAGTCTGGTGGAAGTGCTCACCAGTCATTCATCATTTATCAGCCATTAAGGCTAACTGGAGAGGTCCCAGTGGACTGGATATTTGCAACTGTGATGCCCATAAACAAGAAGGGCTAGAAGTAGCATCTGGGGAACTGTAGGCCTGTCAGTTTGACCTCAGTGCTGGGCAACACTATGGACCTGATTATCTTGAATTGCCATCATGAGGCATATGGAGAAAAGCAGGAGATCATGCCCAGTCGGGATGAGTTTATGAAAAGCAAGTCGTACTTGACTAGCTTGATCTCCTCCTGCGACAAGGTGACCTGCTTAGTGGATGAGGGAAAGGCTATTGGTGTTGTCTACCTGCACTTTTACTAAAGCCTTTGACACTGTTTCCCACAGCATTCTCCCGGAGAAACTGGCTGCTCATGGCTTGGACACATGTACACTTTTTCCTGGATGTAAAACTGACTGGATGCCCAGACCCAAAGAGTGGCAGTGAATGAGTTAAATCCAGTTGAAGGCTAGTCATAGGCAGTGTCCCCCAGGGCTCAGTGTTGGGGCCAGTTCTATTTAATATCTGTCGCTGATCTAATCAGGATGGGGATGAAACAAAACTGTGTGGGAGCATTGATCTGCTTGGGAGTAGGAACACTCTTCAGAGGGATCTGGACAGACTGGATCAATGGGCCAAGGCAAGAGGTTCAACAAGGCCAAGTGCTGCATCTTGCACTTTGGTCAAAACAACCCCATGAAACGCTACATTTGCACCACAGAAAAGGACCTGGGGATGTTGCTGGGCAGCCGACTGAACGTGAGCCAGCACTGTGCCCAGGTGGCCAAGAAGGCCAATGGCATCCTGGCCTGTATCAGGAATAGTGTGGCCAGGAGGACCAGGGCAGAGATTGTGCCCCTATACTTGGCACTAGTGGGGCTGCACCTCAAATCCTGTGTTCAGTTTTGGGTCGCCTACGACAAAAAAGGCACTGGTGTACTGGAGTCCGTCCAAAGCGAGGCAATGAAGCTGGTGAAAGGTTATGAGAACAAGTGTTATGAGGAGCACCTGAGGGAACTGGGGTTGTTTAGCCTGGGGAAAATGAAGGCTGAGTGGAGTCCTTATTGCTCTCTGCAGCTACCTGAAAGGAGGTTGTAGCGAGGTGGGTGTTGGTCTCTTTTGCTAAGTAACAAGCAATAGTACAAGAGGAAATTGTGTATTAGGAAAAATTTCTTCACTGAAAGGGTTGTTAAGCATTAGAAATGACTACCCAAGGAAGCGGTTGAGTCACCATCCCTGCAGGTATTATGAAAGACTTGTGAATGAGGTGCTTAGTGACATGGTTAAGTGGTTGACCTGGAATTGCCATGTTAATGCTTGGACTTGATGATTTTGAAGGTCTTTTCCAACCTGAGTAATTATGATTCTATTTTATGATTCTCTGTGGCTTTTGGCTATTACTGAGCTAAGGGTTAGCACAGTTCTCAGGACTCATTCCTGAGTGTAACAGTTTCCTGTTTCATAGAAGCTCTCAAGTTGGAAGGGACCCATAGAGGTGATTGAATCTTACTCCCCACTACTCGCAGCACAATATACAACAAATGCTATGACTAAAAGCATCTTTGAGATATTTCTTGACCTCCGAGAGGCTTGGTGCCATGGCCACTCCCTGGGGAGCCTGAGTAATAGCTGATAAACTGGGATTATTATTTTTTTTAACCTGTTTTATCTTGAGTGTCATATATTGTTCTGTCACATGTCCTCCTGCAGTCCTTCATAGTTGTCTCCAAAGTCATAACTCTGTATCATCTACAGGCTTTGTCACCTCGTTGCTTACCCTGTTATCATACTGTTCATGAATATGTTGAGCAGCATTGCACCTGGCAGAAGACTCTTGCACTCTTGCTTCCTGTCTCTTAACCAGTTACCTGTATGCTCAAGTGTCTTCCCTGCTCTGGCGTGGCTGCTTAGTGTTCCACGACTTGGGGCAAGGGGTGTGGAAGAGGGACTTTGTAACATACAAAACTTTAACAGTAGGATTTTTGTACTTTTTCACCAGTCCTTTGGTTGGTTGGGTTTTTTTGGTTGGTGATAATCTTCCTTTGATCTCAATGTTTGCTTTATAGTTAACTGTTCTATAGAATCATAGAATCATATAGTTAAGCTTCTTTATCAAACTGGTAGTGTGTGATTTTGTAGTCTGCACCACAGACCACATAAACAAATATCTTATTCATTCCTTTAGAACATTAGAGCTATTGTATTTAGAACTATTTCTTATTTTATGATTTCAGGACTTCTGCTTTTTACTGTCTACCAGAGCTGGAGGATTAGGTATCAACTTGGCATCTGCTGACACTGTAGTTATATTTGATTCTGACTGGAATCCACAGAATGATCTGCAAGCACAGGCTAGAGCACATAGAATTGGACAGAAGAAACAGGTACAGAGATGTAGCTTTAAGCTCCAAACCTGAAGAAGGGTTCTGTACAGTTTTCCACTCTGTCTGCATCATTCAGTCTTCATGTATTTTTGAGAATAACTAGTATTAGCTGCATGTATGTGAAGATGTTAGTAATGCTCATTTAACTTTTTAAAAATCTCCCTATATAGGGAGATAATATGGCTGCTCTGGTGTATGGTGGCAGAGGGAGAAGAGTTTCATGCTTGTCTGTTCCACATTCGTTAAATATTTCTTAGTTCTCTTCAGGTTTCTTTCTTGCAGAAGAAGACGTAAAGTAATAGTTGGAAATAAGCCATTTTTGCCTATGGCAGTGCTTGTGCCCAATCACTGAAGTTTAAAAAAAGACAGGTGTAAGAGTTTATTTCTGTCTGGTTTTTTAGAATGCTTATGTAAAGTGTATGGTAATATGATTGAACTAGTCTTTCATGTTTTAAAACAGTCAATAAATTTGGGAGGTGCATAGTGAAGACTGAGATTTCTCCTTTTTGTTGCTCACTTTTTTTTTAAAAAAAATATATATAGGTTAATATTTATCGACTAGTCACAAAAGGATCAGTAGAAGAAGATATTCTTGAAAGAGCCAAGAAGAAGATGGTGTTAGATCATTTAGTGATTCAGAGAATGGACACTACAGGGAAAACTGTACTACATACAGGCTCTACTCCTTCAAGGTATATTTTTTATTTATTTTGTTGCCAATGTACCCTTACGTATTTTTGACAAGTAAGTAAAAATGCAAGTTATTTCACTTGGTTAATGAAATGCAAAATAAGATTAAAGAAGTAAAGATGCAATATGCGTTGTCTCTGTAGATTTTTATTTGCATATAAAATATATGTATATAGTTTTATTTATCAATAAGAAGAAAGTTTAATTGATTCATCATAGAGAAATTTTTCAGGTTACTATGGTAAAATGTTTTTCTGGAAACATGCTTTATTTCAGCTCAACACCTTTTAATAAAGAGGAGTTATCAGCGATTTTGAAGTTCGGTGCTGAGGAACTTTTTAAGGAACCTGAAGGGGAAGAGCAGGAGCCCCAGGTAAGTAGTGTTTCTGAGCTAGACAAAATAACTGAAAATACATATGAATTTTCTTAATTTTAAAGTGAAACTCTTTTTTAGGAAATGGATATAGATGAAATCCTGAAGAGGGCTGAAACTCGGGAAAATGAGCCAGGTCCATTAACTGTAGGAGACGAGTTGCTTTCACAATTCAAGGTATTGCTCTGCGCCCTCCCTCCTGCCTTAATTACACTTTTCTTCATAAATGGTACAATTTTTCTTTTCTGTACCTATCAGTGTCCTCTTTTGTAGGAAATAGATGCCTCAGTAAGTTGACCATGTCTCTTTCTAATAAAATATCTTTTCACCTGTACAGGATATTTACCATTAGTATAAACATTTAAAAATACATGAGCTATTTTGCTAATAAGCGATATTTGTGAGTTAATGATTAGAATTATAAGTAGTTTTCTGGAGGTTTTTGCTGCCTTTGTTGTTAAGCAGCTGTAGTTTCATTGAATGCAAAATAGAAAGTTTCCATTTCTTAGTCAGTGACTACCAGAATCAGCTTTTAGCCATAGAGTAAACTTGAATGACAGGTGTTTTAGCTGTTACCAGTTATAATCTGGGTGCAAAAAAAAATGCAGAGTGTAAGGTATTTGTTGAGATCAATGGATTATTAAATAGGTCTCCTGCTGATTATTTGTTTGCAACATTTTGATTTCTACAGTGCATTAATGTTTGGTTAATTTTAGTTTGTTACGGTTTCATATTAACTCAGGCATTCAAATGTTGCTAGCATTAATTTGAAGGAAGTTAAACAATCATACAGCTGTCAGAGAGGGCTTTCATTATGCATCTCTATTAATTTTTAAAACAAGAAAAAGATCTCAACTTCTCTCATCCTGGCCCATGTTGCGTGGAGTCTGTGTTCTGTAAATGAATAAAACTACTTTCATTAGAGACTCTTTCTTGAAGGATTTTGTATGTGTAGATTTTAAGTATGTTATAAAACAATAGCATATATGTATGAATACATGAAATAGATAAATGCATAAAATACGCTATCGAGGATTTTGTTTTCCTGAGATGTTAGTTGCTCAGTCCTTTTCAAGTGAAGTCATGTATTTCCTTGATGAAAATACATATATTCTGATATACAAGGTGGCCAACTTTTCCAATATGGACGAAGATGATATTGAGTTGGAACCAGAACGAAATTCAAGAAACTGGGAAGAAATCATTCCGGAAGTCCAGCGGCGAAGAATAGAAGAGGAGGAAAGACAGAAAGAACTTGAAGAAATATACATGCTCCCGAGGATGAGAAACTGTGCAAAACAGGTGTCTTTTCGTTTGACTGACTTGTACTTGTATGTTGCTGTTGGTGTAGTTTGTTCATTGAGTATTGTCCCTGGGTTTTGGGTTTTGGTGTTGTGGTTTGGTTTTTTTCCTTTTCTGAACACTTTTTTACAGGCTAGGTAAAACCTAAGTTTGTTGATCACGTAGCTTTGAACTACTTATTTTGAAATTCCAGGTGAGTTTTAATGGAAGTGAAGGGAGGCGCAGTAGGAGCAGAAGATACTCTGGATCTGATAGTGACTCCATCTCAGAAAGAAAACGGCCGAAAAAACGTGGAAGACCACGAACTATTCCTCGAGAAAATATTAAAGGATTTAGTGATGCAGAGATCAGGCGGTAAGATATGGGGGGGGCATGCATATGTAAAGGGACAAGAAGATGTTTGACACTGATTTAAAATCCAGTTGTTAAGGTGGATGAACTTTTAATATACAAGCACAGTCTTCTTCCCATCCTTTTATCTAAAAACTACTGCTGAGAGAATATGTAAATCTTTCTAGTGACAACTGCAGAAATTGGAGTGTTTTGGGGTTTTTTTAAACTTCTTGACACTGTGAATTAATGTTATGTTGTGCTTTTTTAAGCTAAAAAAATATAAAATCCTATTTACAATATCACAATATGCTAGGGTTTGGATGGGACCTCGAAAGATCATCTAGTCCAATCCCCCTGCCAGAGCAGGAACAGAATGAATTTGAATCTTCTACACCAGATCCTTCAATGTTTGATGCTAAATTGTTATATCTTTTTTGGTAGGAAGAGGAGGAATTGTTTAGTTTTAACTTTTCTGGGCTTGTGAGTGCCATTTTGCTACCCAGATTTAACTGTGCATGTTTCTCTAAAATGCTGTAAAGCTTTCAAAATATTTCTGGTTACAGAAATAACTAATCCTTTTAGCCTTTTTATTTTGTCTAACAACACAGAAAGTTGCACTTTTTTCAAGGCTGTTCTTGTGCTTGCACTAGCAATTTGAGGCCTTAATTGTTGAGGATTTTTTTTTAATTATTTAATTTCCTTTCTATCCCAGGTGTCTCCATTTTCTTTCCATCTCTTACACATTCCTACAGAGAGTATCCTTCATGTCTTATTTTCCAAAATCTTCAGATCGCTTGTTGCAGATTGCTTCTTTTACTATATGGCATAACATAATGTCTGAAACCTCTATTTACTGTAAATCTACATAAATTTTTATTATTAGACACATCCAGCTGCTGAATCTTCTGTCTTGTGAAATTAGTAAAGCACTTTCTGACATAAATTGTACTTTCTATTGTTTTATTTACATCAGTTCTTAAAACAAGAAAACTCGTTGCATTTTCTGGGTATACTAAGCTGCCCTACTGTCTTACCTTTTTTTTCCTTTCTTTTTTGCATATAGCATTATACTAAGATTAATAACTGTATTAATACAGTTTTAAAACTAATGTACTTAGTTAAGCATACATTTAAACAGCAAAATTATTTTCTGTTACTAGGTTTATCAAGAGTTACAAGAAATTTGGTGGCCCTCTTGAAAGGTAAACATGTTTGATTATTACTTGGAACCTTGTTTTCATAAAAATTAGAACAATACACCAAGAAACCTTAAGCTAAAGATAAAATACAGTGTGTAGTCTTTTTCGTTGAATATTACACTACTTTAGCTTAATATATTCTGTTTCATCCTGTGTGGTATGTGTGCAAACAGCCACGCAACAAACCTTTTCAATTTGCAGGACTGCTTACTCTCTTTCTTTAGACATTCAGCTGTCTTGTTCAATAGCCTCTTGAAAACCTACCAGTTTATCAACCGTGACTGTCAAAGTTAGTTTTGCATTTTCATTGTTGTTGGTTCTTATTTTTAAGCTTCCTTTATTATTCCGTGTTTTAAGAGAAACTTAACAATTCGTATTTGCTTCAAAAATATTTAGTCTGTACAAATACGTTGCGTATAATGATTCCTTCTCATTTTCTTTAAAAAAATGTCAGTAATTTAACACTGTAAGATTATGGTCCCTTAAAGTTCTTGCATTTTCCCCTGATACTTGAATCGAACAGGGTGGGTTTTTTGGGGGGTGGG